TGTGACCAAAAATTTAAAAATTAAAATAGATAAATTTATCAATAAAATTAAAAAATTTTAATCTACTAGCGGTTTAGTACAAAAAATTACATAAACTAACTTTTTCAATTCACTAGCAATTTAGATCATAACCATTATCCGTTAGTCTTAAATTATTAAATAAAAATTTTACCAAACACTTAATTTGTAACGATTTCGAAATATATAAGTTTACCAACACCTATATTTATTACTACAAATTATATCCCTCCCGACGTTCGCAATATATATTAATAATTTATTTATTATTCTATTTTTCCGCCTTATCCTCACCTTTCTATTATTCTTCTTTAATCATTAATTGCATTTTTATCTATCATTATATATCTTTCTAATCAAAGTTTCTCTTTCTATCTATCATTAAATATTTTTTATTTTCTTAATATTATAATAATATATAAATTTCCTAAAATCACAAAAAATTTAATAATATAAGTAATAAATTTATACACATATCCACAAAATTATAAGTTTTAACCAATATAAGGTAAAAAGCGTGCCTTATCACCACTTTTTTCTTTTTATATTAGTAATTTATAGTTAAACATCAATTTTAATCCCTCAACTTTAAAATTTTATATAATTTTGGTCCCTTAATTTTGTTATACACTTTTTTGGTCTTTCAACTACAAAAAATGCTTCTTTTTTTTAATCTCTTTGTTAACTAGTCCTTTAAATCTATTTATACATGTATAGTTTTAGTTCTTAAACTTTTAAATTGGGAGACAAAAAATGCACATTTATTATAGGTTGAGAGATAAAAAAATGTGTATATTTAAATAAATTTAACAGATTAATTGACAAAATACTAAAAGTTACATGTTTTATAGTTAAAGAGCAGACAATGTATATAAAAAAGTTAAGAGACTAAAATTATATAAAAATTTAAAATTAAAGGACTAAAATTAACATTTAACCTTTTTTTAAATTAAGCTTTTGATTGTAAATTGTTTCTTTGGTTTTAGTTTAATTAGAGTTGAATATATAACTAATGATTTAGTTTTTAAAATTAATTTCTTTAATATATAAAACATGACAATCAGAGCCTGTTTTTTAATTTTTAAAGTAAAGAAATGCCATTGTAAATGCCATATAAGCGGAAAATTTTGTTGCATAGCCTCTTGAATTTTTATCTCATTTCTACGCAATATATAGAATTATGGAAAATGAATATTTTGAAAGAAAAAGTTTGCTACATTATCATTTAACTAATAGAAAGATGGAATTAGTATAAAAAAATAAAGTTTAAAAATATTTTTAATACTTTGTAAAATTTGAGAACAGATCTAGTACAAATATTAAAGTTACCCTAACCAAATTGTATTTTGACCTTCTGGATGCTCACTCTTCCTCTTCACTCTTCAGAACTAAAGTCTGATCTTTCTGTTAAGATTTTTTTTTTTATTCAAAAGATTATAAATTAGGAGTGGGGAATTGAATCTAATCTAAAAAATTAAAGGTGTACTTCTCAAGAGTGGTAAAACCATTAACTCAAGAAAGTCAAGTGTGATAAAAAAAATAAAATTGATTAAATTTTTACATTTAATAACTGCTTGATTAAACTTTTACTCATTAGATATATTAATAAAAAAAAATTTAGATAAATATGACAAAACAATTCATGAAATCTTATTAATTTCTTTCATCTCCGCATGTATAATTATTACTATTACATTTCTCTCCTTTTACCTCAGATTGTCTTTTTTTTTTTTCTATAATGCCTATATATATTAAAAGG